GTTTGATGTGTCACATGGCCCTCATCCTATTGAAAAAACAAAAGTTGTATCCAAGATGGCCGACTTCTAAATGGCCACCATAATCACCACCCATCATGAGGAGTTTGCCCCCTCACATATACTAATGTGCCACAAACAGGACTTTAATATCACCAACCATTCCCATGTTATTACGGTGTATCCATGTAAATGGCCCACCCTGTAGGACCTTTATTTTAAGATTTTTTTCTTGTGGATGTACTGGATAGCAACTTGGGATTAGTATCTTGCCCAAGGATATTTGGCATGCAGACTAGAGAATCCAGGAATCGAACCACCGATTAGTAGGTGACCTGCTCTGCCACCTGAGCTACACCTGCCTCTGTAGTAGTGTGAGTCATGGTTAGTAGGTCATCCACTTCCATTCCAGCTACAATTCTGCATCTCGACTGATATTGAATGGTTTCAGGTTTTATACTGACATTTATAGTTCCAACAGCTGATAGTCTACAGATTTTCCTTCAGCATCAAAAGTAGGATTTTGTCATATTATGTAATTGTCTGTAAATTTGTCCTAACTTTTCTGTGTAGTGGCCAAAGTGGTTCAGGGAAGACTGAAGCTACCAAACTTATAGTCCACTACCTCAGCTCGATGTATAAGGGCAGAAATTACAACCTCCGACAGGTAGGTCAAAGTATGTTCATCTTTCAGCTATTTTTGTCTGTTTCTTACCATTTTCTTTCTCTTCCCTAAATAGCCCATGGAGGTCTTTCCAATCCTAGAGAGTTTTGGGAATGCCAAAACAATCCTCAACAGCAACTCCAGCCGCTTTGGCAAGTACCTCCACATCCACATTCTTCAGTGAGTTTGCCCAACTTAACTCTTTGTGTATTTGCATTTTTCCATTTTTCTGGTGTTACTAGCCCTGGGGATAACTGGTTGTAGCTGTTTTATTTGTCTCTCCTCTTGGTTGGCAGAGGAATTGTTGTAGGGACCTCACTCTCCAAATATCTCCTTGAGAAGTCCAGGGTTGTTTTTCAGGTGAGAGTATTAATTAAGGTGTGTTGTTACTTTTCAAAGAGATACAATTTTGATCAGATTCAAACTGTCACAGTAGCCATGGGTCAGTGTGTCAACCACTCTGGTCTCGACTTAAATATCTTAATAATTGTTATGACTGCCCAGAGAAAGAATTCTAGTGACACAAGGGATACATTTTCTCCAGTGCCAGAGGTAAATTTCCCAAGATTCCCAGAGAAGGAATCCTAAAGATGTATGTCCCTCTCTCTTTCTGGCCAAATTGAATCTGAGCACTATATTTGCAGATATTTTGAAGCATTATATAAATTAACTTTCATGTTAAAGGGTAATGGGACAAAAAAAATGATCTCCTTAAAGAATCCTTAATCAAACCCCTTGTTCAACATGCTTAAATGTGAATTAAAGCAACCTTTGTTCTCACCCACTGCTGTTTATTCTACACTATGAAAATCTACAGTAAAGCTACAGAAGTTTAAAAGAAATGGGTCTATTTAGACACAGATACCTGAGTCTATATAGGGGCATGAGATGTACTAGACAGTATTTATTTCGAGTCTTTAGAAACTTTACATTACCACAGGGATCACCCTTCACATCTTTTCTTTTCTTGGTATTTCTCCAGCTGTGTTCCTTTTTCCTGATTTTCCTGTCACTTGGTAGAGCTACATCTATTACTATGGCTGTCTTCCTCTGCTTGTCTATTACTGTCTGGTTGGTTGGCCATCACTGGTTTATCTGTCTGTCTTGAAGTCCCACAGGAACTTACTTGGTCAGTCCCCACCCTAGGAGGCGTGTTCCTTTTTTTCTGTTTTTTGTTCTTTCTTTTTTTTTGCCTGTCCTATCCAGCAGTGTAGAAATCAGAATTACTGTCTGAAGGCCAAGAAAAATGCCCAACAGACTTACTTTCCCAAGTGACCATTACCACTTTTGGTCCACTTAGTCATAGTTTTCATAGTTTTTCATAGTTTACATAGTTTTCATAGTTTACTAGACTTTTGTTAGGATTATTTTAAGTTATTACTATCAGAACAGAGAGGACTGGGGATGGGAAAGAGAAAGAAAAGTGAAAGAGAAATTGGGAAGAAAGTTAACAGAAGGAGAGGGAGAGAAAAATAGAGGAGAAGACGGTTTGAGAGAGTGAGAAAACGGACTAAAAATCTGCTGCACCATGTGGTGAAAAAGATAAGCAAAAAACAACACAGTAACAACCACGATATGCAAAACAGTAAATAATAAATATTAAATGTATATATATGTATATGTATGTTTAGAGCCAGCACCTGACCAAGATACAGTGACGTCTGTGTGTATCTGCTTGTATACCTGTGTGCACACTCGTGTGTGTGAGTGCGCTTGTGTTCATAAGGTTTCTCCATGTAAATGTCTAATCGTGGGTGTGGGAAGATATAGCCCTGACCCACAGGACATGCCCCCCTAGAGCCCAAGGAGGATGACAGCAGGGGCAATCGCGCCACCCACCTGTTTGTCTGTCATCCTTTGATCTTGCCTTGGCTCTCAGTATTTAACTAACTCAGTATTTAAAATTAAAATTATAATTTATCTTTCATCAGTGTTTCCTGCTTACATGGAGTGAACATGTGTTTTTTTGTTGTTGTTTTTTGTAAGCACATAGAAGTCATGACTTTAATTCTTAGTTGTTTTCTCATTTTCCATGTAGGCAAATGAGGAGAGGAATTACCATGTGTTCTATGAACTGCTGGCAGGTATGAATGGCTGGGACAAACAAGAGCTCTACCTGCAGGAAGCTGAGACGTATTACTACCTAAACCAAGTATTTCAAACAGAATACTTTGTTTTTCATGAGTTTTCCATATCTTTTCAAACATTATGTGCTAGCCTTTTTTCCTCTGTCCTCCTAAAGGGTGGTACCTGTGAGCTGAAGGAGAAGCAGGACAAACAAGACTTTCAGCTTTTGATTCAATGCTTTGACATCATAGGACTCCACGCTGAGCAGGTCTCCACTGTCTGGGCCATCCTCTCCTCTATCCTACAGCTTGGCAACATTTGCTTCAGCTCATATGAGGTATGCATTCATGGAGGAGAGAAAATGAGAGACAGATTAGAGATTAATGTCATACATCCAATCCTGTCATTTCAGAGTGATTCATTTGAGGTGGCTCAACTCTTCAGTGAGGCCGAGGCCAGGAGGGTGGGCTCACTGTTGCAGATTTCCTCTGAGGCTCTTCAGACTGTGATCACTCACAGAGTTACCGTTAGTAGCCAAACACCAACATAAGATTTATTCTGTCTCCCATCTTCTGAATTTAACTTGTAACATCATCATTGGTTCTTATTGGTGTTTATTGGTTCTTTCTGACACTTAATATGTAGGCACAGTAGAACAAGAAAGTATTATTTTTGGAAAGATGAAGCACAATCTATTGTCAGTACCTTTGCTAGTACTAGATACCAATAGCGTATCTTTAAAGGAAGCAAGATCAAATTATTTAGCACTTGACTGGCTATTAGAAAACTGAAGAAAGGTAATGACTCACTTAAAATAAAGTGGACAACCTTATTCTAGCCAGCCACATTGCAATAATGTCAAGATACTGGCATACCCAAGTGCAAGTGCCTGTGTGCATGTGCGTTACTTAACCTTGGAGCACCTGCTACCAGGATCTACTATGGGAAGAAGGTAAGCAGACGGAAGCAGTGTAATGCTTTGGGCAATGAGAAACCTTAGGTCCTGTCATCCAAGTGGATGTTACTTTAACGTATACCACCTACCCAAACAGGCCATCTAATGCTCATGGAAAGAGCATTCCACAGCACACCTTCAGAAGTTTCAGGGTTGCAACTTCTGAAGGTTTCAGGATAGCCTCTCTACTTTAGATTAAGCTTAAAGCTTTCCTTTTAGACAAAGCTTATAGTAAGGGCTGGATCAAGTGAACCTTCCTTAGTTATGCTGCAAGTGGCCTAAGATTCTGCAAGCTTCCCATGATGCATTGAGCATTTCTTCATTCACATCTTTTCACTCTGTGATCAAATAGCACCTTGTATTCAATCATTAATTATTAGTAATATCTAGCTCTCTTACACAGTGTGACTTTTGTTCTGTCCTGATGGGTCAGGACTGGACAGGACTGGTCAGCCAGTGTCTCAGGAAACATGACATCAGTAGGTGGAATACAAGCAGCATCAAAATTCCTGGACTGACCAGCATTGTCCATGTCCACCTGGCTGGAAGGCAAGATGGGCCCACATATGCCAGTCCTGTACTCCACAGCTATAGCTATATTAAGGACTTTTTCGTCAAGTCCCATTGGGCTGGACAACAAAGATGCACTGATCTCCCACTGGGAGGCAGTTTTAAGCCAGGGAAGAAGAATCACTAGCATGAACAGGTTCTGATGCACCACTTTCTTCTGGCCAGTACTTTCTTTTCTCCCAACCCTCGAAGAGGTTTACCTGTTTCATTTACACAGTCAGAATATAAATAATAACTAAATATAATAACATTATAACATATAACATTCTAAAATTGAAATATTAGTACAACAGAACCACGGTGGATCCGTCCACATTTGCATGCTTTTTAGCATCTTTATTCACAGCTGTTGCAATTTAGACATCAAAGCTTACAGGCAGCTTAGGATCCTCGCACCCTCGTCCCCCACCTCCGGCTGGTGAGGTCCCTCGCATACCTCGTCCCCCACCTCCGGCTGGTGAGGTCCCTCGCATACCTCGTCCCCCACCTCCGGCTAGTGAGGTCCCTCATGCACCCCAACCTGCGGCGCCGGCTGAGCAGCTCCCTCGCATGCCCCGACCTACCTGCCTTCCTCCAGGTAGTGGGAGTGGGTGCATCCACCTGCCGGGCACCAGCCGGTCTCACCCATTGAGTGGGTACAGGTGCGGAGGTAGGCTGTGCCCTAGCTGGGCTCACCCTGCAGACCGGCACAGGCGCCAGAGCAGTCCGGGCCTCAGCCACTCCCCCACAGTCGAGTGACACCAGTTGCCATGGCAGTGGTGTCGGCGAGAACCAGATCCGAGTTGCCAGACTCTCGAACATCTGCATCCAGCGCTCAATCCGGTGCTGGAGTTCTTCCCGCTGCCTGCTCCCTCTGCATAGCCGCTAGCTCACCACCCTCAGTGGGGTGGCTAAAGCTCAGGTGGTAGACCTACTAACCGGAAGGTCGGTGGTTCGATCCTAGTCTGCTCCAGTCTGCATGCCAAATATCCTTGGGCAAGATACTAACCCCAGGTTGCTCTCCAATGCATCCATTGGAGTGTGAATGTGTGTATGAATGTTAGTTAGACAGCGCTAAAAACAAAGAAAAGTGCTTGTGTGAATGGGTGTGATTGGGTGAATGAATGAGTTGTGTAAAGCGCTTTGAGTGCTCAGATAGAATAGAAAAGCGCTATATAAGAACCAGTCCATTTAGGCCAGCTCCTTCCCTAGCTGGCCCAATCCTGGGTCTGCCGTGCCCCAATCATGGGTTTCAGCACCACTGAAAAGAACACACGGCAGACCCATCCATACATTCATTTTATTCACGACTGCTTACACACCGGCTGAAGCTTTTCAGCTCGCAGTTCACCCTTTTGACAAAAACAACCACAACAGTTAGAGTTCATAGACTTTAAGACGGCGAGGTGTGATTGTGGATGCCATGTAGGTGCATCTGCCTCCCCTGCAGTGTCACTGCAGACCATTCCCCGAATGAGGCCAGTGAGCCATCCGGTCAAGCTGAATGAGCAATCACGGCCATGAGTCGGAGCTTACAGGCAGCTCGACGGGGGTCTGGCACAGCAGGCGCGGACATGAGCTGAGGCTCACTCTGAGCTCCAGCGGATTGAGGTAGGTCCAGACGAAGCAGAAATGGATATGATGCCTAATTATACCAATATACATACAAAAGTCCTTTACAACATGAAATGACAGCTCCCCCACAAAGAGTTTCCAGGAAAAAAGGGAATCAAGTGACTCAGTTTATTGTCTGCTGTCTGTTGCCAGGGATAATAATAT